CTCGAGTAACTTTCCTGGATGAGATTTTAATCCAGTGCTGCCAAGGCAATTGAAAAAACTCCCTATCACCCAATCCTAGTAGAGTCCAGACTTGGGTGGCAAAAGGGCAATCTCTCAAAAGATGCAATGGTGTCTCTGGATCCCCTCCACAACGAGGACAGATTGAAGAGAAGGCCAAATGTCGTTCAAAACGAACAGCATTAGTTAAAACTCTATTGTGCAATAGTAGCCATTAGAAACATCCTAACCCGTTCAGAACATCTAAGCTTCCACACCCATAGCCAGCTCTGATCTTGAAGTGGAATTGGTGCCTTTTGTTGTAAAATCTAGTGAAAAGCTGACTTAATAAAGAAAAAGCCATCATCAGAATATTTCCACACTATTTTGTCTTTAACACTGGCAGTTGAAGACAATGGAATGGACAGAATTTCATTCACTTGTGCTGGCGGTAAAAGGTTGGCTAAAAACTCCTTATCCCAAATCATGGAGCTATTAATGGCATGGGAAACCGGCATTGTTAATGATTCCATAACGACTGGACCTGTGATGAAATTACACAAGGGTGAACTATAAGTCCAATAATCCTTCCAGAAATTTATAGAATCACCCAAACCAATCCGCCACTGCAACCCAAATTCTAACACATCTTTGTAGTGGATAATGCTCCTCCAGGTAACTGACGACCTTGGACTAGCTTCTGTAGAAAGGAAAGTACTTGTGCGGAGGTATTTTTGCCTCATGACTTGACACCAAGGGGCTTCATCCCCTACTAGAACTCTCCAACCCAGTTTTGCGACCAATGCACGGTTGTTATCCCTTGCTGCTCGCAATCCAAGGCCTCCTTGATCCTTACTTCTACAAACCACCTCCCAGCTAACAAGGTGGGGCCGTGAGATCCCAGTCTCTGTGCCCCAAAGAAAGTTCCTGTGCATTTTGTCTATTGCATCACATGTGCTATGAGGTAATAAGACAGTTTGCATAGTGTATGTAGGAATAGATGAAGTTACAGACTGGATTAGAATCCTTCTTCCAACTAAACTTAATGTGTTTTGTTTCCAACTGGCTAATTTTAACTGCATTTTTTCAATTATATACTTGTATTGTGTTGCAGAATTCCTACCATGAATTATTGGAACCCCCAGATAAGTGCCCAAGTTTGACGTGAGTGGAATACCACATGAAATGCTTAAGGAGCGAGCCACCGCAGACTGAATATTTGGTGAAACAAAAAGCTTTGATTTTGCCAAATTAATTTCAAGACCTGAATAACTTGCAAACTCCTTCAGACAGTTTGTTACCATTGATAGCTGAGAATGTGAAGCTTCACAAAAAAGCATTAAATCATCAGCAAAGAATAAATGAGATAGAGCAAGACCTCCTCTGCTTAGTTGTATTGGCTTCCAAGTCTTTGAGTGTATTCTGTTTAAAATCATATGGGATAATTTTTCCATAACCATAATGAAGAGATAAGGAGATAAAGGATCTCCTTGTCTTAGACCTCTTTGTGGCTCAAAATAAGGCAGTGGTTCTCCATTCCATAACACAGAAAGCTTCACAGAATTAACACAAAACATTATAAGCTTTACTAGTGTTGGAGGAATATTGAAATCTAGTAGAACTTTCTCTAGGAAACCCCAACTAACACTATCAAAAGCTTTGTGAAGATCTATCTTTAAAATAATGGCACCTTTCTTCCCTTTCCTATGCCTTATGCTATGCACTGCCTCTTGGGTGAGAACTTTATTATCTATGATACTACGGCCAGCAAGAAAACTGCTTTGAAAAGGCCCTATGAGCTCTTGTAAATAAGGCCTTAACCTGTTCACTAAAACTTTACATAGAACCTTATAAGCCACATTAAGCAAAGTGATTGGCCTGAATTTCTGAATAACATCTGGAGCGTCACCTTTTAGGATTAATGCAACATGTGCCTGCAAAAGGGAAGGCTCAAAGGATCCATTAATTAGAGCTGAATTGACAAAATGTAGGAGAGTTCCTGATACAGTGGTCCAATATTTTTGGAAAAAAATGGCTTGCAACCCATCTGGTCCAGGACTTTTTAACCCTTTCATAGAAAATAGAGCTTGCTTTACTTCATCCAAACTGGCTGGTTTCAAAAGTGATTCATGTGCATTGTCTTCCATTTGCGGCTGGAAATTGAGATAGGAGTTAGGCATTATATTTGTTTGCTTTGCCACAAAGATCTCTTGGAAAAAGGATCGAACATGAGATCGAAGTTGCATATCATCATCCACCCAATTGTCGTCAATCTTCAAGGTTGCAATCCTGTTTCGGTTTCTTCGAACAATTGTAGATGTATGATAGAAAGAAGTATTCCTACCCCCTAAATTGATCCACTCTACCCTAGACTTCTGACACCAAAATAGTTCTTCTGCGTGAAGAATCCTATGTTATTCTGTAAGCAACTCTCCCTCTAGCTTTTGCAAGAAAACTGAATACTGATAATTATTAGAATTTTGGATACCAGTTAGTCTGGCTACAAGTAATCTTTTCTGTTTGAAGATATCTCCAAAACTCTCCTTACCCCATGCAAAACATGCCTTACTCGTCTCTTCAATAGCTTGTGCCAAAGATACATTATGTGATTTCCAAGCATTTTCAAATACTGCACCAAAATCCTCTCTTGTTAACCACACTGCTTCGAACTGTGGAGGTCCTCGTGGACGCCTCACTGCAGAATTAGGTTGTATATTTAACAAGATTGGATGATGATCACTACAAAGTCTTGGGAGATTAATTAGCTTAGCCGTAGAAAACTCTTCCATTGCGCTAAGGTTTAGGACAGCTCTATCAAGTCTTTCCCTCATCACTCTTCTACCATTTCTCTTCTTAGTCCATGTGAAATGACATCCTAAAGCCTCTTTAGAAAATAAACCACAACCATCTAATCTATCTCGAAACACTTGAGCCCTTGAAAATCCACAATTTGGTGTTGGAGAGACTTCCTCTACAGATAAGACATCATTCATATCTCCCATAACAATCCAGCTACCTTGCATGGTTGCCGCTCTAGCTCTCATCAACGCCCAGAATTCTTCCTTCGTTGAACTATTCGGTTGAATATATGCTCATGTGAGAAACCAATGAGAGGGACCGGTTTCAATTCGACAGTGAATGTCTTGACATGAAGCAGAAAGAACTACTAATGAAACCGATTTTGATTTCCAAAAAAGCCATAAGCCACCTGCCCTCCCTTGCGAGAGGACTTGATACTGCTCATCATATCCAAAACGTACCATAAAAGCCATGGAATCATCATAAGAATTAGATTTTGTTTCTAAGAAGCAAAAGATATCTGGTCTATGCATATTAATAAGTTCTTTACATTCCCTCCGGAATGGGCTGTATTTAACACCCCTATTGTTCCAAGTAACGACCTTCATTGGGAAGATGTAAAAGGAGAGGTAGCCACTTGTAAGTGTATGGCTGGGTTTGAAGCGTAAGCTACAAGTGCCTGTGGATCATCATGTGATGTAGTAACTTGAAGTAAATGCAACTGCTGATGACCTGTATTGTTCACCTCACCATCTAAAGAGAGTTGATGGGGAGTCATGCAGTGGCCTTGGGACATTGGGTGACTTTGTGTTAAGGAGGGTGGAGGGTGGGTGTGTACTGCAGACAACTTCTCCTGACTAGAGTTAATCTGCGTTGTCTCCATTGTCACAACTTCAAGAGGCTTCAAAGGAGGTGGTTTGGAGATCTTTGAAACTGGTTTTAAGGCCCTAGTCTTGTTCTTCTTTTTCCTAGCTTTGGTTTGGTGGGCTAGTGATCCAGTTAACATAATGGGCTCATTAGAAACAATAGTAGTTGGACATGATTCAACAGGTTTATCTTGAACCTCTGGTCTAAGGGCAAGAGTGATATCCATGGTGGCATTCGGTTTCAATGAATCCGCCAAATCAGTCGGCGTAACAATCTGCTCAATTGACTGAGAATCTTCATGGCCTAGCAACTCTTTATTCTCCTCCAACACATCTGAAATAATTGCAAATCTATTGCTACTCTGCTCCCTGTTCTCATAGGATCTCCCACGTGTTTCTTTTGCTTTTGTAGTCTTTTCAAGCCCTTTTTTGGCCCCAGCCAACTGCATGTTCTCCTGTCTAGCAGTAGTATTAGTGTTATGATTCCCTTTCATGTTTTTAGTTTGGGTATTCTTCCTGGGTTTGCGCTTGGCAATCATCCACGATCCATAAACCATATTATTTTCTTCAGTTTTTGGTTTCAAGGTTTGACTAAGAGCCACAATAGCTTTAGCCTGATCTTTGTTATTCACATAAGTTGTAACAGGATCCTTGCTTTCTGCCACGGGTGGGTTTTTAAGACTAAAGGAATCTTCCTTATGCCCATATTCACCACAGTGAAAACATATTTTATGTAGACCCTCATATTCAACTAGAATAAGTGATTGTGGCAATTCTTCCAAATCCAGATCAACCGATGATGGCAGTTTCTTGCTAAGATCAATTTCAACACATACTCTGGCAAACTTTCCCCTTGTTGCCAATAAAGTCACTCTATCAACCTTTATTGGATTTCCTAGCTTTCGGGCTACATAAAGCACCACAGCTTCGTAATAGCACATCGCAGGAACACCATAAAGTTTAACCCAGACTGCAGTTTTTGGGGCCTTTGCATGAGCAGGTTGGAAACTAGGTTCCCAAGGTTGAACTGTCAAATAATGATCAAAGATTTTATATGCACCTCCTGTAAGGACATTTAATCGGTCTTCAGACGAACCAAATTTAACGATGTAGTACCCTAGTCCAATATCAATAAAGTCATACTCGTATTCTGTATGCCATTCTTTCTGCAATCTTGCTCGGAGGACATGGAAGTGAACAGACTTCCCCAGTAACTTAACTATAATTGCATTCTGAAAAGGCATGCATAGCCGCTGCCATAACGCTTTTGGAATTCTAACTTTCGGAATTTTTACTACACCCACACTAGTATCATCAGCCGCCATCGGCGTGATCGTTTCCATCAATCCTTCAGCAGCGATCAATTCCTCCAATGTTACCAAAGGCAATGTACGAGAGGCATCACCATCAATTAAGGTATCATGAAACGACTTAAGTTGTGGTTCAAGAGAGGCAGCGCCAATAGGTAGGGTTTGATTGTGCGATTTAGAACTAGTGGTTTCCAAGGGTGGTGGAAGCGGTGGGGGCGGCAAGCCATCCGGATTGGGTGGAGGGTCTGGCGGCGAGGGTTCCGTCATTAGTGTTGCGAGAGGCGCCTGTGTGATTTACTCGTTATTGACCTTCTTTTTTTATCTTGTTTGAACAAAAATTACAAATTGTTAAATTAAAAAAAAGTTCCACGTTCAAAAAAAAATATATAAATAAAGTTATTTAATATTATAAGTTTATTTCTCACTAATAGAATGTTTGGGTTGTATGTTGAGGTTGAGGAGAATGGAGGGAAGGAAAAAAATGAAAAGAAAATTTTTTTTTAATCAATTAAATTTATAACGTTTTTAAATTATTCATACTATAAAAGTAGAATGCGAGATATCACTCATCTACCACTTAAATCAACATATAAAATTTGTCTAATTATTTCTATCTTGTTGAGGAATTTTTAAAATAGTTTTAAGATTTGGATTTGAATCATAAAAATTTGATTTGAAACAATTACACAAAATACATTTAAAAGAGTATGATTTTAGTTCAAATCATATAAATTTGATTTGAACTTTTTATGTAAAATAAGAATTCAAAAAATACAATATTGGTTTGAACTACATTTATGCGATTCAAACCATTTATATCAAAAATAAAAAAAAATAAAATTTTGATAAATTTCTTAAGGAAGAGTAAATAACTTTAAAAGGTAAAAAAATATATGAGTTGAAATTCAAATTAAACCAAATAATTTTTAAAAGAATTTTCAACAGATAAACTTAATTGAAAATGACCGTCTGTTCCCAACAGACAATTTACCCCTATAAATATGGATTTTTTTTTTTCTTCTAAGTGTTTTGAACACAGAAACAAATTTTTATTATTATCTAAATAAAATAGCTTATTTTTGTATTGTCATTGCTGCAAAAATCCCTGCACAAAAGCTATTATTTTGTCGTTTTCTAAATAATAGTTTAGTAGTTGATCTTATTAGTGTAAAGGCAAGATCAATAAAACATTTTATTTTATCCTACGGATATTTTGATTTACTCCATTTTACACATCAGATCTAATGAGGATAAAATTAGCTTAAAGAAAAGTGGTAATTATAGCACGGCCTTCAAACCAATGATCTGTCTTTTAACTCCCAATTTCCAACATACCTTAGCTATTTAATTATTCTTTTAATTTAAATTTTTTCAAAAATAATTTTTGTTGATATAAAATAGGGTTTAGGAGCAGTTTTCCTAAATCGTACTACAACAATCTTACGCCCAATCAACCTCCTAACCTTAATTATGGAATGGTAAGTATTTCTTTAATTCTTATTTTTCTTGTACTTTATTTCCTGTGAGGTGTTTTTTCTTTCTTTCTTTCTTTCTTTTTGGAGCGAATTAAGCTAGCTTGATTGTTTTCTACTCTGTTTAGATTACTTTTCAGTAGTAAGAATCAAACACAATCTTTATTTTATAATAAAATCTCACAATACCTTTCTACTAGTAATTGGCATTCCACATGTTACATTAAAATTATGAGATTTTATGATAAAATAAGATTATACATACTTTTTTTTTCATTCCTAAATATCATACATTTATTCTTGTCAATTAATTTTTTTTCAAAAATATAACATGATATAGTATTATTTAATCTTTGCTTCTTCTGTTTTTTTTTAAGTGATATTTTTAAATAAATAAAATTTCATGAAATAATATATTTTCTTAATTTTATTTGTTTATAACCTCGTTTTATTTTTTTTCCTGATCTTTTTGCATAATAATTATGCACTCCAAATGCTGGAATGGAATGATCAGACGGCACCTACCAATATTTTGGCGGACCTCTTCGCCGTTGTTGGGGTTGTGAGGTTTGTACTTTTGTAATTTGAAATGGCTGCATATAAAACCTTTAGAAAGTAAAAGTTTTTTAAAA